AACTCCAGCTCCCGCCGCGTCCGCTTGACCATTAGGTCGTGATGTCCACCGCCTCCGCGCAGCGCAGTGCTCCCCCGACGATTGACAGGATCGGGTGGTGGGGTCCCACTCCGTCCCAGCCCCGCCTTGGGACATTGAGCGCGGTGAAAGAGCGCAAGCGCGCCCAGAAGTCCACTACTGCCCGAGCGCGGGCGTATTCCAGGGGGGTTGCTGCTGCTGCTGCTGTTGTTGCTGCTGCTGCTGCTGCTGCTGCTGTTGCTGCTGCTGTTGCCGTCCCCGGTCCCGCGCTGGGCCCCTGCGTTTGATCCTCGAGTACCGGCGCGTTCAGCGGCGGCCCCTCGTGCGGTCTCACTCCGTTGGCCAGGTGAAAGAAGTCCGTTATCCGCCGCTGTTGGGGCCCTTGCGCCTGGATCTGTTGCGCTTGCTCTGGCTGTTCTGTCGCGGGGTTAGCCGCCCTTTCCAGTCGCCGTCCGGCTGCTCGCAGGCAGCACCTGCCTACCTCCATAGCAGACAGGGCCGCCAGGGCGATCACGTCCCAGGGGGCCTGCTCGCAGCCGGTCGGGGCTTGGACCAACCACAGCTGCTTCCGGGTGATGCCGCCTGTCATTGCCTCCTGGGAGGGCTGTATGTGTCGGTCAATCTGCTCCCGGACAGCTTGTGCGACGGGGCACTCCCAGAAGTGGTGCATGCGTGGGGAGCAGTGCTGGTTGCTGGCGTTGCCGAACCCTCCACACCCACAGCGCTCAGGCACCATGCGGGCCAGGTGCTTGTTGCCGGGCAGGGGGATGCCGTCCACAGCGAGCCGCCACAGCGTTTCTTTGTTCTCGTTCTCCCACCGCACCCCCGACCACAAGCGGGCTTGCGTCGCCCTGAAGCGGCTTGTTTCCGCTGAGGAGGAAGGTGCCGTTTCCTGCGGGTCCAACGCTTCTTGCACAAATGCTGCCATCAAGCGTCCCCGTTTCTCCTCGGTGGCCCCGCATTGCAGCTGTGTCGCTAGGCGGACCGTCAGGCGTGTGAGTGGGACGGTTGTTGTGCCGCCCGGTATCTGCCATCCGACCTGCTTTAGGATCATAGCCATCGCCTGAGTGCTGTTGGGGGTGCTTGGAGCCGCCATATCCCCCGCCTTTGGCATCTCTGGCTGCTGCTGTTGGGGTTGCTGCTCATGCGTCTGTAGCTGTTGCTGCGGCTGTGGCTGTGGCTGCGGCTGTGGCTGCGGCTGTGGCTGCGGCTGCGGCTGTAGCTGCGGCTGTGGCTGCGGCTGTGGCTGCGGCTGTGGCTGCGGCTGTGGCTGCGGCTGTGGCTGCGGCTGTGGCTGCGGCTGTGGCTGCGGCTGTGGCTGTGGCTGCGGCTGTGGCTGCAGCTGTGCCTGCGGCTGGGGTTGCTGTATGTTATGTATGTATGTAATGTATGTATGTAATGTATGTTATGTATGTATGTATGTATGTATGTATGTATGTATGTATGTATGTATGTATGTATGTATGTATGTATGTATGTATGTATGTATGTATGTATGTATGTATGTATGTATGTATGTATGTATGTATGTATGTATGTATGTATGTATGTATGTATGTATGTATGTATGTATGTATGTATGTATGTATGTATGTATGTATCCTTCTCGCCCCACCTGGCCCCCTTCTTCAACCTGTGCAGCACTTACTCTCGAGGAGCTGTCTCTGAGTTTGATTGTGGACGTCATTGGAGTGGCAGGTGGGTGGGTGGGTGGGTGGTTGGGTGGCTGGGCTGATGTTGTCATCCATCCGTTCACCTAGCAAGCACCCCTCCCTAACTGGGAGCTACCCACTCCAGCTCCCTCTCCCGCAGTGTTTTTAATTTCATTTTTGCCCGTAAAGTTTCCAGTCCGAACGGAGGAATAGGTTTTAGTCGCGGGAATAAATATATTCCTAATCTGTAAGGCGCTGGGGG